TGGGGAGTTTAAACTCCCCACATCTTCAAGCTGCCAAGGTTGAGAAACTGCTGTAACTGAAGCATCTATTTCTTCATATTCCTAAGTTCAGATTGTTTTTTAAAGTCAGGAAAGAGTCTGCTGGAGGAGTGCCTAAAAATAAATTGGTGTCTCTTTCAACCTTTTCCCTGTCCCAATTTCCCTTTCTAAATAGAATGTTCCAGAAGAATGAAGAAATGCATCAAATGCCAAGTAACAATTACCAAGAAGTTAAAGCAAGGTGAGCACATAGTTTGCATATTTGCTTTTAGCCCCAAAGTGTAGAATGGAGATAGTATCAAGAACAGCCGTTTATTACGACTGGCATTACAGGAATGGTGAGAGAGAAAGCGTTGGTCTGGAGTTCCTTTGTTTTCCTTTGCCCTCCTCCTCCAGTTTTCCTTGTGGATTGCATATTTGTCCATTGGAAACGTAAGGGCACGGCTGGTGCGGTTTTTCTGTTTTTACAAGCCACAGTAGCCTGGCTCCACGTCCCCTGAACCCCAGGTTTTTTGTCGAGGGAATCACACAAAATTGCCCTTGTATTTAGTTTAGGTTCATGGCTCAGGTTGTAAAAACAGTTTGCAAACGGTGTTAAGCCCAACAAAACAAGCCAGGTGATGGCTTAGTGTCGTGTGTGAGTCCAAGGGTTGGTCCGGTCAATTTCTGGCTTTTTTCTGCCCTGTCTTCTGTCCCCTCCTGGAACAGAAAACGTAGAAACAAACGAGAGATTAAAAAACCCGCCAGCCGTGCTCCCCAAAAGTCAGGATTTATAAGTGACACAAATCGCAGTTTCCAAATATCAGTGGGTTCGATCCATGCTTTTCTTCCTGGGGATGATTTTTTCCTCCTCCGCACCCAGCCACCCGCTTTACGTCTTAGCAGGACACGCTGGTGGGGCGAGTTAAGCAGGACAGAAAGGCCCCGCTGGAGAGGTGCTCTCTCGCCCGCAGCTCACCCCTCTCCTCTCCCCCCAACAGACAACTCCGAAGTCGACGGTGGCTCCGGCCCCGAGGCCACCAACCAGCAGAAGCTCATGGAGGATTTGCAAAGCCGCTTCCGGCAGATGGAAGAGCGGATCACGTGCCCCATCTGCATCGACAAGCAGATCAAACTGATCTTCCAGTGCGGGCACGGGTCGTGCCAGGAGTGCGGGGTGGCCCTGAACGTGTGCGCCATCTGCCGACAGACCATCCGCGAGAGGATCCAGATCTTCGTCTGAGGACCGGCTCCGGCTTCGCCCCTGCACCACCCGCCTCAATCTTGTCTCGGCTGGGAGCATTTGGAGCGGGCCGGAGAGGAGATCCCAACTACGAAGACCTGGGCTGGGTGGGATGGAACGCTAGCTTTCCTTCACAGCCTTCTCCGGCTTCAAAAAGAGGAGAAATCTTCCCAAAAGAGCATGCTTCCTTCCGTCCTGTGGAAAAGCAGTACTTCTGCACTTTAAAGGCGGGGTGTGAATCTGGCTTTGCCCTTCCAGCACGAGGGCCCAGCCAAAGGCGGAGTGGGTGCGCAACCAACCCAGCGGTTGGGCAGGCAAGGGAAACTGGGTTGCCCAGGGCCCGCAACGCCCTGACAGTGAGCGGGGCATGCGTGCACAGGTGTGTGTGTGTGTGTGTGTGTGTGTGTGTGTGTGAGTGAGAGAGAATGCGTGTGTCCTTCAACACGAAGTCGTGAATGTTTGCTGGCAAAAAATACAACACGTCTGCACAAGCCTTTTTCTATGGGGTGGTAGCATTTCTTCCTTACACGCAATCGCTTTACTCTCCCCGCTCACGTGGCCCGCTTTTTCCGAGTCGAGGGGTCAGAAACGAGCAGGCCGGGAAGCTGCGCCCGGGATTTTGGCTGCGCCTCTTCGTGAGGTCGACAAACCGGCCAGCGAGTTGTGGCGGTTGACCGTTGGGCCGTCCCCAGCGGGAAGGAGGGAAGGCGGCTACCAAGGAGAAGATGGAAATCGGCCACCGAGACGCCCATGCAATGCTCGGTGGTTGCGCCTTTCGATGTCAAGGGGGGGGAGCCAAGAGCGCGCATCGTACTTCCAATGAAAATAGGAAGGATCGGCCTGGGAAAGGAACCCTCCACCTAGCCCTTGATACGAGGCTGGAGGAGATGCTTTTGGAGGCCTCTCAAATAGGGTTCTTAGCTGGGTTCATGAAATAGAACCTCCAGGATCAGGGGTAGCATACCCTCAGGCCTTCTGAAACAAAAGACGTCAGAAGGGAACCCTGTGCACAATCGTAATGGCCTGCAAATCGTTGTCGGACTTCTTCCCCCCAACCCACCCCAAACCAGAATCTCACAACAGCAGTCCCTAATCTGAGACCGCTGGGTTGGTTTGAACTGGGAACCCGTTTTAAAAGGTAGCTTCCCTCCCCCCTCGTAATTTTCCTGCCCCAAGGAGAATGGCAAAGGGATTGCAGAGCCAGAGATCTTTTGGAAACAGCCATCTCCAGCCCCCTATGAAGGGCAGAACGGGCGGGAAGGGCATTGTGATTGATTCTGGAGCAGGGCAACAAGGCCGGGGTCAAGCCCGCAGGCTCCTGTCATAACAAGTCGGCTGCTTGGCCCAATTTTAAGCAGCATTCCCCCTGCTTCCATCTTAGTTTCAAGAGTTTGCTAAAGGAAATGGGGAAAGAGTCAGCCCTGAGGGTCCCCGGTCTTTGGGTCTGAGAAAGGGCAACTTTAAGGCATCTTTTCGTGGACAAGACAGCAGGGCAAAGGCTTGCAACTCTACATGGCGCCAGTTCAAAGGCCGTGGGAATGTTAGACACATCCAGGAAAGGAATCAGGATCGCTGTCCTGGGCAGCCTCCAGTCCAATATAAGAATAATAAGTAGCAAAGGGGAAGGAAACGTCTCCACCTGGTGGCTACTTCAGGTACTGAACCTAAAAGGAGAGGCTGACCTCTGATGGCTATTTTTCACAATGCATCGTGGCAGGGACTGTCAATAGCAAAAGACATGAAAAGGGCGCCCTCTGGTGGCTCTTCTGGGCATTGCAGCATCTGACACTTAGAGCCATCAATGGCAAAGGGTGGGAAATTGGCGCCGTCCGGTGGCTCGTTTTGGCATTGCAGCCTGAAAGGGACTAC